CAACACGAAGAGATGTAATGAAAACGTACAAGGGTAACAACAAGGAAGAGCGACAACCACAAGGAAGAGAGAGACCGAAAACCAAAAGGGAGAGCTAGAACGAAGATGGTGAACGAGAAGGAAGAAAGAGAACGATGATTTCTAATGAATTAGGGCAAGGGGTATATTTGGAATCCCAAATTTTCTGAAGCTCTCATCAATTTCAATGTCACAATTTCAGAAATAAAAGAAAAAAAATTGGACCAATGTACTACTGACACCTAACATTTTTAAAAATGTGTTAAAATTTTGTTGTTAGAATATCGCGATCCAAAATTATAAGTGAAAACGGATGTTGTGAAAACTGGATTGGGAAAAACGGATATGGAGAGGAGAGAAAAAGAAAAAGTGAGACTTTGGGTGGTGTGGGGCTGCGCAGCTGTGAAAGTAAAAGTAAAAATGACATGTAAAGATTAGGGTTTTCTTAAAAAAAAATAAAAAGGTAAAAGGTTAAAGTAAAAAAAGGATATTTTAGTAATTAAAAGAATACGAAGGAGGTGCAGGGAACACTTGGGATGCTGGAGGATCAACTTCCCTTAGCGCTTGTTCTTTTGAGTGGATTTGAGGGAGTGGATTTGAGGGGATTTGAGAGGATTTGCATATAATTTTTTTTGTCGTTTTTTTGAGCGAATTTTGAGGTAAATGAGAATGAATTTTAAATAATATTTTTTAATTTGTCACATCAATACAATTTTATACTAATTCTCACAAATTTTATTTTCAAATTCACTCTCATTTACTTCCAAATTCGCTCAAAAAAACGACAAAAAAAATTATCTTCAAATCCTCTCAAATCTCCTCAAATTCATTCCGTGAAATCTACTCAAAAGAACACAGCCTTAAGCTATTTGGAAGCAAATTGGAATGCATTGATAAAGCTGCTGCCATACTTCAAATTAGGCCACTGGAACGCTTCTGCTGCTGCAAGCACTGGTTAGACCTTGGGCAAGTGAATTTGGGTCGTTGCTCCTAATTGAAAGAAGAGTGAGCCGCTGGCATGGACATTGGGTCTGCAGTTAATTGAAGCTGTGCGTTTTTGGTGGCTACTCTGCTTTGGGGTCATGTGCATTAGTGATTCATTTGACAGAGAGCATCCATGTGCTAGGGCTTGCTCGAGAAAAGAAACTAAAGAGAAAGAGCAGAAGAGATGAAGATGGAGACGAAGCTCGTGCACGTGACTCTGACCGGTGAAGAAGCTCAAGATGATCAGAGGGCTTGGAAAGAAAGACGAAGGAAGACCGTCCGATTGGATTAAACTCAAAGAGTACTGAAGAAGGTTCCTCTTTTCCCACCCTTTCCCTCTGTTTCTGACCTTATATAAAGGGGTTTTCTGTTATGTAAATAGACACTTTTATACGCACTTTACTTTAACCGTTCTTAGTTTCTGAATAGAGTAGAGAGTGGCGGGGGTGACAAACACTGCGTTCTAGGTTTATCGCTTTCATAGGCTAGGGTTTATCGCGCTGTTCTTCGATTCTGGATTTCATTGAGTTGCGAGGGTGACAGGCCGTGATTTTCAGTGATTTCTGGTATCATGTACTTTTATCTTCAAAGTTTAATGAAATTCTGATCCTTTTATTGTTCTTCCTTCAATTTCTTACATTTCTTACTGCTTTTTAATTTCGTGCAATTGATTTTACTTTTCCCAGCACTTGTATACTTTGATTTTGCCATTTATTGTTGAATACTGATGTTGCCTTTGTATTTGGGATTTTTCTTTTATGTTTCTTGCATTAGTTGTATCAATTTGGTTTCTGTTCTGAGCATGATGAATTGTAGTTTAGGATTGATTTTTTTTTTGTCTTTGATGATTGAATTTAGTGTAGGTAATTGCTGTTATTTGTTCTTAGAATAGGTTTTCATGATTAGATATGGTTGAACGTAAAATTATGAGTTAAGTATGTGGTGGTTGGATAATTGAGTGAGAATTGCCATTGTAAGTTCTGAGATTTGAACAAGAAGACCCCAAAGTGGGCTTCATCTCTTACAGGATGTCTTTCTGAGAGTAATTGAGACTTTTTCTTCTAATCCATTGCATATTTGCTTCTGATTTTTACGTTTGCCTAATCTACGTCGTTTGCTTCTTTTATTTGTGATTCTGCATTTCTGCCCATTTGGTTCTGTACATGATAACCTATAGTTTGTGCATTTACATTTACCTTTCCAGAATATGTATATAGCTAAGAGATTCTTTGGTCTATTAGTTCCATGTGTTAAGCATCTAGGTTTCTTTAGTTTTCATATATGTTTCATTTTAGTTTTCATATCCAGAGTCAGTAGTTTAGGTCATTTTAACTTCATTCTTGCATTTTTAGTTTAGGAGTTATTGTTTCTTTTCATTTTCTTTCTTTCTTTTAAACAATTTACAGATTTTAGTTTTAATTCTTTTCTTTTTTTCATTTCATTCATTTTTAATTTTCCCACCCCTGCATTAGTAGTTAATAAATAGAATAAAAAGCAAGAATTAACTAAACACTTTGACCTTAATTGTACCAAGTATGAAGATTGATACTTATGTTGTCTCTATACTTTATTAATGGAAAAATCTAGTTTGTTTTGATTTTGTGTGATCAATCTCCGTTTAACAAATGGTGCCGTTGTCCGGGACTCGGCGAGTTAAGTTTTATAGTCTTAGGTTAGTCTTGTTTAGGTTGTTTCTTTTTGCATATTTTTTTAGTGTGCTTAGGGTCTGTTTTTGAAGTTTTAACATTTATGAATAGTGGTTCTTAGTTCTGTGTGTGTTTAGTTTCTTTGTTTTTAGCTTGTGTTCTGAAATTTTTGAAATTCTCTCATCTCTACATATTGGTTCCTCTGGATGTTATGCTTGTGTGTTTGGTATAACTAAAATCATATTTAACTATTATTATTATTATTATTATTAATATTATTATTATTATTATTAATATTATTATTGTTATTATTAATATTATTATTGTTATTATTAGTTATAATCTTTTATTATTATTTGTATTATTAATGTCTGTTATTAGTATTAGTATTGTTTTGAATATTAGTATTACTTTTAGTGTTATTATTTGAGTTAATATTATTATTAGTCTTAGTAATTCTAGTATTTGTAATATCACTATTAGTATTGGTTTTAGTATTATTATTATTTTTTATTATAATAATAATAATAATAATAATAATAATAATTAATTATATAATTATAATTATAATTATTAAATATACATATCTTAAATTATAATTAATTATTATAATAATTAAATATACATATCTAGTTATTATAATATTTATTACTATAATTATTAAATATATAATTATAATAATTAAATATATATTAAATTTATTTATAAAAAAATCATATTATTTAAAAGAATAGGTTAAAAATAAAGTTTTATTATCTTTTAAAAACAAAATTCCGTCTTTCCAATGGTAGAGTGCTTCTCCGGACATGAGAATGAATGAGCCAGGGGTGAGGAGAACGGGGACGGAGGGGAGGCGTTGGTGAAGTGCATGACGCAGTCTGACTCGAGGGAGAGGATGGCGATGCCGTCGTCGAAGCGGAGGAGGTCAACGTGGGCGCAGATGCCTTGGCCGGGCTGGTAGACGTTGGCGATCATCTGGTCCAAGAGGGGTTCTCTGTGAAGGATGTGGGGCGGGAAGGGAGGTGGGTTATGGGCCTGGAGGCGGATGGAGCGGCAAATGGAGTGGGCCAGAGGAGGGCCCCAAGAAGGGAGGTGTTGGAGGCCGAAGCGCATGGCCTGGTTGATGGAGGGATAGGGGATCCAGTTTTGGGATTGGAGGGATGCGACTATGCGAGATTGGTGGCGTGGAGAGAGGAAATTGGGACACAGCCATAGACCCGAAGATTTCTTCCAACACTGCCTTCTCCTCCTCCTCTTCCCTCATCTTTCTTGCTTCCACTTCTCTTCTCTTCCCAGTTTCTTGCTTGCTGCTTTATATCAAATGATGGAATCAGCTATAGATTTGAGCCCCCATCCTCCTCACTCACCTTTTTTTTTCTTCGCCGCACACCTTGAAAGTACAACATATTGCTTTGGTGGCCTGGCCCAACACATTATTTTTGGTCTGACTGAACCAAAATAATAGATGAAAATTTCTGCACCCCCATAATTACTAACTACATTTTCTTAGTTTTCAAAATAACCATTCTACCTGACTTCCGGATTATTTTTTTTTCTAGAATTTTTGCAACATGATTTTCAGAACAAAATTTTCCGAATAAATAATTTTTCCAGAAGATACTCTTTGGAACAGGATTTTTATAACAAGTTTTTTGAAACATGTAAAATATTTTTTAATATAAAATATATTTGAAGATAAAACCACTTATTTTTAAATTATAACTGTATTTTCTTAGTATAGAATATATATTTTTTGTCTTATCAACAACAGTTATCAATTATCTCTTACATAACTAAAATAAGGTTAATTTCACTTTGAATTGAATATAAGTGTAAAATATAAATACAATTCTTTTAGAAATAATGGAAAATTTATATCTTTTTGTATTTATCTTTTTGTTAAGCTTATATTTTCGTTTTGATGAACTTTTGGCTTCTAATTTTATTATCTTATTTACTTGTTTAAAAAACAGTTTTGATTTATATTTTTGATTAAGTTTATCTTTCATAACTTTTTTGCATAACTTAATAAAATCAAATGTATCAAAAAAAAATTTTATGGTTTATCTTTTTTTTTTTATTTATATCTTTTTATCTTAATCTTTATGATCTATCTTGGTTTCCTATTTAAAATCCCTAACACTTCTATACCTTATTATTTTTTCATTACATTTTTTTCTCTTTCAACTCTCAAGTTCTCACCATCATTTGATTGTCATAATGAGAAACTTGAAAACTTTAAAAGAATTGCTTGCAAGTATTACTGATAGAGAGTCACTAAATAGATTGTGTTCCAAGTCATTTCAACCTTCTATGTTGAATTGGTTAATTTCTCAAGATGCTCCACACTTTTATAATGAAGGAGAATTGCTTCAACTGGAGGATTACTACCAACAACTTTCAAATTGTTATGAATCACATTTAGAAAGGAATAATACACAAAGAGGTGTTCCAATAAGGTATGTTGAAATTCACTTTATTTGTTATTTTAATTTTTAGTATAATGTATAATAATATATTTCTTTTAATTTTATCCCACTGTTTTTATGTAATGATCATTATTTTAAACAGTAAATATAGATCCTTATTTCAAACAGATATAATGTCATTAAAATAAGGGTCAAATATGTTTTTAGTCCCTTAATTTTGATATGAAATTGAAACTTATCTAAACTTTGATATATTTTGTTCCTTAAACTTAATAAATGAATAAAGTTTTTTTAATCCAATTATATTAACTTTTTTTTTATGCTAAACGTATTTCATTCTAGTAATTGGGTTAGTTGAAAAACATATTTGATATTTCACTAACATTTGAGGTAATTAGATTCATATTACTGTATCCATTCCATTTCTAATTTTAGGACCAAAATATATTCAAATCTCATGTAGAAAAGGAAAAAAAATAATTTTATATGAAAGTTAGGAACAGACACATGTTTAATCACATTAGATATAAGAAACAAGCAATCCTTCATTAGTCAAAATAATAATACATTATATAAGCAATGTATGTATAATTATAAATATGATAGTTATTATGAATTTGATTGAAAAACTTACATTCACATGTGTTTTAACGAAAAAATTAATTTGACATAATAGTAGAATGGAATAGAAAAAATATATAATAATAATAGTAATATCTAAAAGGCTATTTAATATAGTTTTCTATTTGTAAATGTATTCCAAGTTGTAATCATTTAATAATATTTACTATATATTATTTATATAATTCCTTAATTAAATATGAATTAAATAGATAGGATAAGATGATTATAGATTTGTTGATTTGGTATCAGGAAAATCGTTAGATTTTTACACCATGCTTAATTTGTAAATTAATTTGAACAATCATAATAAGAAGATATTATATTTGACTACATTATAGTTATTTTTTTTAAATTTCATAAATTAGTTTTAATGTAGTAATATCTTGTTAGATTTCTATTAGTTTATAAATTTAAGTGCATCACATCATATTTAGATCATGAAAACGAAATTTAATTTGTAAAATCTCATTAATTTTGTTAGATTTCTTAAAATTTATTCTAATTCTTCTAAAATCTAAATTTCATTTCTTATTTTATTTTATTTTATATATTGAGTTAGAATTTTGTTAAGGGGTGCTTTATTTTTATAAATAACTTTTATTAATGTGAAAACTAGTTATGTATCAAACTATAACTAGAATGAGTATAATTATTAATTAAAATGTTTTTTTATACGTAGACAAAGAGAAGATATGTCAAAAGGAGAAATCGAGGAGCCAAATATCAAAAAGCGAAGGAAAATTATGAAAAGTTCATTATGTTCATGTTCATCATCATCTCCACCGTCATCATCATCTTTACCTCCACCACCATCACCATCTTTACCTCCACCACCATCACCATCTTTAGCTTTACTTGTATCACCACCACCATCTTCACCTTTAACTATACCACCACAACCATTTTCACCTCCACCTCTAGCATCACCACCATCCTTACCTCTACCACCGCCGTCAAGGATTAAAGTGGTAGGGCCAAAATCTCCACCACCACGAAAGGTAGTTGTGACATGTCCAACACCTTCATCATCAGATTTGTCAGTAGAATTTAGGAATCGAGTCACCGAGTTGAATGGCTATGATCTTAAATTTGTGATGCACAAGATACTTTTCTCATCGGATGTAAAGCCAAACAATAACCGATTATCAATTCCAAAAAAGAAAATCAAATGTGATTTTCTCACTGAAAATGAGATTATGAAGTTGGAAGAAAAAGAAAATAATGATAAAATTATTGGTTTGGAAGTGACTGTGTTGGACCCCTGTTTGAGAGAATATACTTTGCCAATGAAGAAGTGGACTATGAAATCAGACACCTACAACCTTGTAAAGGAGTGGAACAAGATTGTGGCAGCTAACAAGTTTAAAGAAGACCAAGAATTACAAATATGGTCTTTTAGGGTTAATACCAAATTGTATTTATTCTTAAACAAACTTTTAGTTTGAATCTTGGGTTCTAATGTAAAGTGAAGATTAAATTTTTCTTTTAAATTTGTTTTCTTTTAGGTTTTTATAAATAAGGTGTAGTAAGGTGTAGCTTCTTCCAGAATTTTGTTGGTTAGTAAGAAGTATTTTTCTTGAAATTTAGGTTTACATATAAGTTTCTCTTCGCATCCTTTTTAAGAACCTTAGAATAAAATTCACTATCACTAATAAATGTAGAAGAAAAGGCCTTTGAAAATTTTTCAAGCAAAAGATTTGCATTTAGCAAAGTACTTATTGAAGGTAAAGAAACTATCAAACCTTTTTAAACAATTGTCTTTAATTTCTGTTGCTAGAGATCAATGGCAGCGTAATTAAGATGTTAGTGTCACCTTGGAAATTCCATAAATGGTGAATGGATATACTTGGTACATTTTAGTATGCAACTTTACAAAAGAAGTTTATTATAAACGCAATGATGCATTTACTGAAATGGGTTGAATCAGAATAAGTAATCACATTTACAACAAAAAAGAAATGTAACTTTCTATGAAAATTGATAACATATCAATTTTTGTGGTTCCAAAAACTTTGGTTCTAGGAATGAAATGTAATTTGTAAGTAGGCATGTGTAAAACTTATTAATATATAAGTAATTGCTATTTAATTAAAAAGAAAGTTATTTCTTTATTGTGCAATAAAATTTTCTAGAAATAATTAGTTAAAACATAATATATATATATATATATATATATATATATATATATATATATATATAATTTACATATTTTAAAAATATCATTATGTAAAATTATTGATATTTAAAATAATTACAATTATAAATATAATATTATAACTGGTTTATGAATTAGAGTCTAAATTAATCTATAATATTAACCATCAAAATTTTAGCTACCAAATAATTAGTGTCTAAACTAATTTTTAATTTTAAATTAGTATAAATTTTAACAAATTTAGTCTTTACGAATAAATATAATTTTATTTATTGGCATTGAGCAATCATTACTATTTTATCCTCACATCTTAATAAAACTAATTGTAGTGAAATATAAAAACTTCTTATCATTGAAATAACTAATTTATGAATTATTATTATATGAAAATATGAATCTACGTGATAAAACTCTATTGGTTACAAACTATCAAAACCTTTAATAACATATCTTATCCTTATTGAAATCATATTCAATAAGACATTATATAAGTAACATTACATCTTTCAATAAACGTTATCAAATAATAATGAAATGGGTTGAATCGGAATAAGTAATCACATTTACAACAAAAAAGAAATGTAACTTTCTATGAAAATCGATAATATGTCAATTTTTACGGTTTCAAAAACTTTGGTTTCTAGGAATGAAATGCAATTTGTAAGTAGGTGTAACACCCTACTATTTTAAAGGGTATTACTGATAGTAGAGACTAAATTAATTTGATATCTCTTATAAACAATCAAACTTTATTTCA